CTCAACCGTTGGGTTATAACAGGTCAACCCAACTTGCTGGGTCAAATTAACTACTGCTGGGCTGGTGCTATACTGACCCAGCAGTTGGGCCAAAAATAACCCATATTGGGTTATTTTTAGCCCAACTGTTTTTAGTGTGCTGATGAACAGAACTACAACAGTTTCAATAAGGTAAAATATCCTTACTTACTACTACACCTTATCTTTTTACATGCTACAGAGTTTTTAAAAAGCACAACTAGTGGCCCTTTTGCACTATAGCGCCTCTACAGCACGGTTTAGTTCAGCACAGTTCGGGTGGTTTACCATTACACTTTAGTAACAGCTCTAGTGGGTTGGTTCATCGTAAAGCTGGGCGGCCCCAGAGTCCACAAATTGATGCCACACGCCTTACCAGCTGGTGATGGTTATGCTCCATTTAGCTATTCACCAGCCACCATTAAACATAGAAGAAGACCTTGAAAAGATGTGCAACAACAATAGAGGGCATGGTAGTGTTGATGTTGCAAATGGTGGATCAGGTTGTTATGAGAGTAGCTCTTGTGACGCAGCCATTGACTCCACCTCCTGACCAATCAGTGACAGACAGTTATCTGATGCTGTGTTTTCAGGCCAGCATCGTACACTTTGAACCACAGCAGAGTACGTTCTGAATAAGTGTCTGGTTCCATACATCCTTGGAACGGTGGAGAGCCAAGCCGTGCTTTAGCAGCACTAGTGGAAAAGGAGCACAGATGGCAAAAACTGTTTTGTTCTCCTGGTAAGGTGAAGACAGTTGTTGATATAATGGCTTAATAATCAGATGAGAAAAATTTGTATTGAAATGCAAATCATCAACATCAAAAATGATCTCTTGTCACGATCAAATGCAATGTTTTAAAACTGGTATAAACAGATACTTTTATTTTGCAGCTTCTCTGTGTTTTTGACCCAGAAAAATTCTCAACACTAATTTATAAACTAGACGGCTTGGCTCCAAACTAGTGAAGAAACCTCCTTTGTTCAACAAATGGATGTTTTACCTCGGGTGTCCCAGTCCATGTGTGTGATATAACTGGAAGCTCCTTTACAGATGCCGATTCTCTTGGTGCTCAGCACATTGTAGATGTCGACAAAGCTGTCGTGTGATGCCACGGACAGGTATTTACCTGGATCTGAGGGAGAGATTAAAGAAACAGAGCAGATAAGTCAAAATATCTAAAAAATCAAATTAAACATGACATATTTTGGTGATTTTGGTTTATTGTTACTTTTTCTACTGTCAATGAGAGAAGGGGGTCTCTGCAGTCAATAAGGAGTTTCTTGTTTTGCGGGAGGAGTTTGTCCAAGACATTAGGGCTGGGTAAACAAAAATTGATTAATCGATCTGGATCGATTTCGGTTCAATTTTGGGGAAATCAATTCATAAGGCATGAGATCAATTTTTTCCCCATTGGTGTTGTGTGCGATGAAGCTGCACGTTTCCATGTTGTGTGTCACTACTGGTATGTTTACATCTGGTTGACGTTCAGTGCTAACGTTAGCTCCCAACAACAAGTTATCTGGGGCAAAACAAAAGAAACAAAGGAGTCACTAACATTACAGCTGATTCTCAGCTGAACTTAAAGATAACAGAGGCCATGACAACTTTTGTTTGCAAAGATTTGCGCTCGGACTCGGTGGTGGGAAACGAAGCTTCGAGTGGCTCGTTAGGTGCTCGAACCAAAACTACACTATGTAAACATCTGACTGAAACTGTTCTCCTCGGCATGTAAAAATGTGTGAAAGATGATAGTCTAACGAAATCATTAAAATTTTTTTTTACCAATATTACTTTTAAATTTAAGAAACATCTTAATGTTATTCGCACTCCACCCTTGCAACAGGAAACTATGTACTGCAGATACCCTATTTGGGCAATGAAGATGTTTTTGTCTGTTTTCGCTTATCTGTAGTTTTAGCAAAACATCTCATGAACCACAGATTTTAACTAATCTTTCAGAAAGTAATTATTGGTTGTACATCTAAAACAGTGGCGGATGCTGATCTTTCAAGAAGAGGAAGCTCAATTTCGGCCTACATAATAAAATGTGTCAATTTATAACTTTTACCCTCCGTTTCTTTTCAAGAAAATGATCTGTGACCCTGTCACAGATTATTTTTTTTAGTTTATAGTATTTATTAATTTCATTTTAAAAAACAAAACAAAACATTACATAAAACAAAACAATATAAATAAAATAAAATTAAAAGCAGCAGAAGAAAAAGATCTTATATCTGCTCCTATTTACAAAAAATATTAATTTCAAACAACAATAAACCAAATAGTAAAACAACAAAAAAATCAGCTCCTCAAACAGTGACTCATACAAATACAAATTAAACAATTTCATATTTCTTTAACAATTTTGCTTTGATCATTTTTTTAATGGAATTAATTCATCCAATGCTTTTATAATCATTTTCCAGATTATTCTATAGTCTTTTACAGCAGCCAGCTCACTTTGTCAAACCAGGACAGCTGAAAAGACCTGTTATTTCCCCACTGTGGGATCAATAAAAAGTTTTTTTTTATCTTACTTTTCCCCACCTTCTGCACCACATTAATCTGAGGATTTGATCAGTCCTGTTCAACTCTAAGTTTTTCTTCATAAGGAAGACTATCAAATGGCTTCGCCAAAATCCGGTCCACAACATTCAAACTGTCTGCCATATGTGCAGCTTGCTACCTAGCTAGCTCGCTGGCTGGGACTGGCACGAGGCTAGAGTGAAGTGTGTCCGCCTGTGAGTGCTTTATAACGGTGGAGGGGCTCAGCAGCCCCCGCTGGACAGAAGAAGTCAGAAAAAGTGATAGAAGTCGCCTCCAAACACAAGCAGCTAAAAAACAACCACCAGAAATAGAAGCTCGATTTGTCGCTAGTCGTTTTTAACAAAGAAAATGCTGCTAAAAGGATTAATAAAGTTTCCGGTTCAACTCAGAACAGAAACGAAACTAAAAACTGCTCCCACAGAATGTTTACACCAAAAGATTGCTGATTCGCTCATTTCGCTGTCAATCAAAAAGAGACTCAGCCTCCCGACAGATCATCCAATCATCATGCAGAAGCTGAGCGTCCGGGCCAGCCGAGGCCAGTCCCCTGTCCCATAGACCCCCAGAGACGCTCAGCGTCTGATGGGTGGGACAAAGCCAGCATTTATCCGATGACTCGTCTCGTTTCGCTGCAGTTTTTGCATTGCTAATGAGCTCTGTGGAAGCTCAGCGTCTGACTGTTTAAAGCTCTGTGAAGCTGCGGGAATGAGTGAAAGTCGCATTGTTACCAATGATAAGAAGCTGATTCTGAACAAAAGTTGAGCGCATTATAGCGCATATTTAGTCAATGACGTACTCACAACAGATATTTGATCTTTTTTTACATTTTTAGGGAAGCTGAGGTTCCCTTGCAGTCTCAGAGCAATCGCCTCTGATTTAAAACTTTTGGAGTCAGTCCGTTTGAGCTAGAACTTGTTGTACTTAGCAGCTGAGACACATTCCCAACATATTTAGAATGCTACAAAATGAACATTTTTTTCTAAAAACTGTAATATTATTATAGCACTAAAGAGATGTTAATGAAACTTTCAAAAAGTAGTACATCTACAACTCATTAACATTTGGTGTCAACTTTATTCAAGATGACCACCCCAGCTAATCAACTTTAGCAAACACACACTTTGTTAAAAACCAGTCCATTCTACAAATATTGAGCCAAAACTTGGTGTGGTAGCTGATAGTCACTCACAACAAAACACTCTGAGAGCTCGCACAAGATTAGACATCATTGGTTTACAAGGTTTACTTAAACTAGCTTTAACTCCACCCCTGTCATCAGAAGATGATTTTTAGTCTAAACTCAGGCACAAAGGGCTCCTTTAACCCAGGAATGTCAGGCCTTTAGCTGTGATATGGTGTTGGTACCAGGAGAAAATCGAATGTCAGAAATGGCATCGCGGCGATGGTGGAAGCTCAGCAGATCCTCCAGCGTGTCTGCGTTCACCACCAGGACGCCACCGTCACTCAGACCCACTGCCAACGCTTTTCCATCAGGAGAGAAGGCACAGCAGCGGCCGCCTGCAACACACAAACACACAAACACACAGCTCATTCATGAGTTATGTAGTTAAACTGTAATATTCTATTCTGTTTCAGGATCCAGTGTAATTTTGGACAGGAGGATAGACCGGTAAAATACCCACTTTAGTTTTTTTTGAATAATCTATAAATGCTTCTGTTAGCAAAATATCTCATCTTCTGGATAGATTATAAGGAAACTCTCAGAACTATTGAATGTACTTCTACAGCTGATAATATGATAAACAGATTATATTTATTCTTTAATGACCTTTAATTTCTTTGTAGGTTTTAATAGTATTATTTGAAATGATCCAAACTCTCAGTATTATATATGAATAAATAAAATAAACTGTCTTTGTCTCAATGAGACGTTCAGACTAAGAAATGAATTGAAACCAACAAAATAAAGATGAATAATGTATGGGCAATGTGACATGTGACATGTGACATGTTTGTGTGTAAAATCTTCTAATCTGCAGTCTGGTTGTTGGTCAAACCTCTCTTCAGCTTGCGGACAGCCAGCATGCGGTGATTGGCCGACGTCTCCCACAGTCGGAGGGTTTTATCGTCGCTGACGGTGGCGCAGACAGGGAGGAGTGGGTGGGAGGCCAGACCCCAAACCTCACCCTCCATGTGCCCCTGAACAATCAGAAACATTTTCATTTTATACAAACACAAATGAGAGAAACTGTCATCATCTGTGTTTTTGTCTTCATTTTCTAGTGTTTCTCTGTTCCCGTGTTTCTCTTCCCTGCTGTCTTGCCTCCAGCCTCACCCACGCTCACCTGTTTCCTCTTGTGTCTCCCCAGGTGTTTCCCATTGTCTCTTCATTTGTTTGCTTCATATTCTGAGTCTTGTCATGCGTGTTTGTCGGATCATTGTTTTTCCTGCCTCGTCTTCGTGCCCGTGAGTTTTTGCCTCTGTCTAAGAGTGGTTTTGAGCTGCCTCGCCAGCCTTTTTCTCTTATTAAAGCTTTTTGTTACTTTTTTTTTAACCTCGCCTGTGCCCTGGGTTTTTTCCCTTCTCTGTATCTGTCAGAAACTATGAAACCAGAGCAGTTTAAACAGGAGAAAGATGATGTCACAGGGACACAGGGACAAATTAGACGGTCACACTTAGGGACAATTTAACACTTAACCTAACCTGCCTGCTTTGGTCTTTGAAAGGAAACCAGAAGAACTGGCGAACATGTGTGTGGAGCCCACCAAGGGACAGTGGGGGGTTTATGTTGCCAAACAAAAATTTTGCCTCACCTTGAAAAACTGTTCCTGCCAGTTTATTACTAATTCACATGACAACCATTATATGGGAATTACTATAATTCAGCTTCAGCATAAAAATCACAGCCATGCCATATCACCGTCATTTTCTCTAACTTGTGGTGACACATCCTGTTTCTGTAACTGGATATTTCAAATTAAAAATTTAATTCAATATAATTAAACAAAAAATTACAGTTACCTCAAAAATGCACAACTTTTATGTGGAAACACAAAAGAAAAAAAAGCGCTCTACATCTCCGTACATATAAACTCCACACAGAAAGGCTACAACTGGGTTTTGAACCTGTAGCCTTGCTGCTGTGAGGCGACAGCTCTATATGCTGCCCTCACTACAAAATATATTTTTAAAAATGCCTGATTTACTGAAAAAGTGCCTTTTTGTTATATAATTCAGTTTGATCTTACTGCAGTTTGGTCTCTGGGGTTTAAAGTACGAAGGGAAGCTTTAAGGTGTCCAATAATAACAAAGATGATTAAACAGCTCAGTGACAGACTGTGGTTCAACACAATCATGATAATGCTATATAATAATACTGTCAATGGCTGCAGGTTGTTTTTAACCTGTAAAGGTAATATGAGGCAACATGGTGGCCAGTAAAGTTAAAAAGCAAGAACAAAATGCTTCTTTATTATTAACAGAAATAAATTCTAGTTTAATTCAGTCTGCTGGTTGGAAAAAGACAACTGGTATTTGGTGAAGCAGGTTGGAGTTAGAAATGTCTTTTATTTAAAAATAAAAAAATAATAATGTTAGAATCTCTTTGAATAATCTGAAATTAGTACTGCCTCAGTACTTCAGTGTTTTATCAGATATTTTTATTCTAAGCTCTAATTACAATAAAAACGCCACTATCTGTTCACAAAACATCATGCTTAAAGTAAAATGGTAAATGGCCTGAACTTGTGTAGCGATTTATCAAGTCCCCTATTCGCACACTCTGACTGTAGTAAGCTACAGCCACAGATGACAGATGCTGCCATGCACCAGCACCACCAAACCCTCTGACCACCATCAGTAGGCCAGGTGGATGAAGTGTCTTGACCAAGGACACAACCACTGGGAAGAGTGGAACGGGGGTTCGAACCGGCAACTCACTGGTTACAGGACGACTCCAAGTGAAAACATTAGAAATATTCAGGTTAGGCCGCCCCCCTTTAAAAATATCCATTTGGACCCCTCCACATTTTTCATAAAATACTGGATTAGTTCACCCAGTGTTGTTTCTGTTGCTTGGTGGAAGAATCCATTTCGCTTTGTTGGTACGAGAAAATCTATCCTACATGGTGTTTTACCCACAAGTCACCACAGGATGAATGGATGAATGGTCAATGAGGTTCCATCATATTAGACCAGGCTTTGGCTCTCTAAGTGGTCCTGACAAGGTCGGTGTGGCTACCTGAAAAGTTCCTAAAANAGTCCAGTTACAAAATCCAATGAGATATGGGACCAGGGGCGTCCAGGGACGGGCAAGGGTCGGAGGAGACCAGCTGGAGGGCGGTTGGAGGACTTGTTTCTGGCGCAGACAGGACAGGCKGCCACGTACTCCTTTATGTCCTTGATGAGGTCTGGCCACCAGAAGTARCGTGAAGCCAAGGAGATCATGCYATGAATACCTGGGTGACATGAAATATTATTATTGTGAAGCCAGTCCAGTACTTTACCCTTGACCGAAGGGGGAACAAAAGTTCGGTTCGGGGGTCCTCCRCCTGGATCTGGCTCGGCAACCAGAGCTTCCTGTACCAGTTGCTGGATGGGCCAYGTGAGGGCTCCAACAAAGCATGAGGTGGGTAAAACGTTGTCCTCTTTCTGAGGATGCTCCTCCACGGAGAACTGGCGAGAGAGGGCGTCAGGTTTCACGTTCTTAGAGCCTGGCCTGTAAGTGATAGCAAAGTTGAACCGGGTGAAAAACAAGGACCACCGTGCCTGGCGAGGGGTTAGCCGTTTAGCTGTCTGAAGGTATTCTAAGTTTTTGTGATCTGTCCAAATGATGAAGGGGGWCTTGGTGCCCTCTAGCCAGTGTCGCCATTCTTCTAGGGCRAGTTTGATGGCGAGCAGTTCTCTGTTGCCGACGTCATAGTTCCTCTCGGACGGAGAGAGTCGGCGAGAGAAATAAGCGCAGGGGTGCACTCTCTTATCGGAGGTGGAACGTTGGGACAGTACGGCCCCGACTCCTGTGTCGGACGCATCCACCTCCAGGATGAGTTGTTCTGATGGGTTAGGGTGGTAAAGAATAGGTGCTGAAGTAAAAAGCCTRTTCYACTCACCGAAAGCACTCTCAGCTTGGGGGTTCCACTGAAAAGGTCTTAAGGTGGAGGTGAGTTGGGTGAGAGGTGCTGCCACACGACTGTAGTTGCGGATGAARCGGCGGTAAAAATTGGCAAAACCCAGGAACCTTTGTAGTTGACGTCGATCTGTAGGTGTAGGCCWCTCTGCCACTGCTTTGATCTTTTGGGGGTCTGTGTGAAAATGTCCTTGACCAAAAATGAAACCCAAAAAAGGTACTGAGGAGACGTGGAACTCACA